GTGACAAAACGTCTGAAAATCAAGTAACCAATAAATCCATTATTGATGGGAATGCTTGTTTGGCACAAAAACATTGCTTTGAAGCAAAGGCATTTTAGAGGCAACAATTCTGTGCTGTGGAGGAGGTTCGTTAATAGGAACCATATGAATGCTTTTCCCAGCATGTTCAAGCTAGAAAATTCTGCCATGTACATGTCTCTCCAGAGTGTGAAAATGAATTCTATGCACAGACTAACATAAACTGCAATCAAAAACGTTAATTTATGATAATCCGAACATAATAATGCTAATACAGCAAGGGGATACTTCATATGAAGATTTAAATTTCAATAGAATACCGGATACATAGAGGGTCATAAAGGAGCACAGTGTATTCAGGTGTTAGGGTAAGATTTATACTACCCTGTAATTATTATCCCCCTCCTTGCGTTTAGAAGCCAAGCGGGGAACAACCCATCATCAGTTAATTCCTGATACCATTACTGGGGTTAAAAAACTTGGGCCACTAATATTTAATTGAACAGGGTACCAGGTAGACATTGAATACCGTACTTAATGAACGAGTCATTGGCTATAATATCACGTGATTTTTTTCCTTCCTTACACCCCTCCACAAATCCGATGACTTTTATCAGCACATTCACCTTCTGCATAGCATATATTTATGCATATATATTATTACGACTCCTTCGGCAGGCCTAAATGTATTTTGTACTTTCCTAGTGAGAAACTGGTGACTTAGGTAGCTTTTATCGGTAAGAGATGTTTATCTTGATAAAATGCCACGGTAGATCTATGTTTTATTGGTTTACAAAGTCTGCACTTCAATCAAGAAGTATACGTGTTGTGTACTGGGACATCTAGTGCACAGAAAGTATTATTTTTCTCTAACGTCAACATTGATACCTTAGTGGTCTCAGTCGTATGGGTATAGCCCCAAAACGATATGATTGGCAACATGTCTGAACTGATAATTTTTTTTTTCATTTTACAGATAACATTAAACAAAATTCCAAATTTCTTAGCTTTTATGTGACATGAAATGAATACCTTTTCTTTGAAAATTAAAACCAATGCACGATTTTAAAAAAATAACTTTTAAGAACTTTTAAAGATTTATACGGTAGCCTCTATTACGGGGAAATGCTTGTATGTATCCTCCCGATACTGTGTAGACATACCATGGTAATAATATTGCATTAAAAAACTTAAACTGAATATATGAAATGATTATCTTAAGATTAACGAATTGTTTACAGAATAAGAATTCGGGTCATGCGGTTGATGTAAATTACCCCATCTCTTCCAGACCGCTCAGATGGTCTAAGTGTTTCGTACCTCGCAACATGTACTTTTTTTTTCTTCGAACGCTCCGGTGGCCTAGTGGTTAGAGCCTTCGCCTTGGATGCGGGAGGTCGTGGGTTCGAACCCCGACCGAGTCATACCAAAGACTTATAGTACTAACTGTTACCTCACTTGGCGCTCAGTTGGACTGGTCGGCCTGGTGTCAGGATAATGTGACTAGTTGGGACATGACGCTACATGCCTGCGGCATGATGCCCCAGAGCTAGATATCACAATAAATTGACACACTGCAGACATCGTATCGATATGACTGAAAAATTGGTTAAAGCTACGTTAAAAATCCAAAACACACACACACACAAACACATCTCTTCCATTTTTATTTCATTTTAATTTAGCAGCATAAGAATAACACTGACCCAGAGAATACTTTGTACAGCGTCTGTCACTCTTCTTTTTTGTTCATAAAAAAAACATGTTTGTTCAGCTTTACATTTAGTAACGCTAAATTTGCATTATTTTCAGCAAGGTATCCACTATGTTCCATGAAAAGTTGCCTGGTTATGTCGAGTGTCGTGTTACGCTTTCTCGTCAACAGCCTTTAAGTCTGACCTTTATAATCGTCGCATTGTGATGTCAGTCAATGCGTTGCATTGGACTTGGCGTCATTGTGTAAATGTCGCATAAAAATGGTGGAAAACATACATGAGGAAACGCACTAACTCTCTCCTGAGGACGTAGATGGGAGTTAAGTGCAGGTGACAAATCCAGACTTCTGGAACCTTTTTTTTCTGTTATAGAAAATCGAAATTAACAAGTTATTAAGTCTTCAATAAACTGCTGGATACTCACTTTTCCATATCATACCGTCAAGTACTCTCTCTCTCTCTCTCTCTCTCTCTCTCTCTCTCTCTCTCTCTCTCTCTCTCTCTCTCTCTCTCTCTCTCTCTCTCTCTCGTGATCACCAATCTTCACTGCATCACCAATCATTTCCTCGTCTAATATATTAATATGTTGATAACCTGTTTATTCCGCTATTAGTAAGTTCTTATCTATCTGTCTTGCAGTATTCCTTCCTTTTCAATTATCTTTTTTAAAAGTCTTATTTTAAAAACAAATGATATGGTATTTATCTAGATATGAATTCATATCCAGAATATAGGAGCCATATGCAGTTATATGTTCATCAGTTACTGTATTTGTCAGTCCTTCAGAAAGTCCGCTAACAATAATATCAATGATAATCACCGGTATAAATCGGAATCACATTAGACGATCCAATATCAAATTGAGAACTGCGGTTGCTCTGTTGGTAGAGCGCCAAACTCGGAATCCAAGTTCGATATTCTCGCCAGCCAGCTCAGGTCGTCTGCCTTGGCGTGTCCTTGGGAAAGAGACTACGCCCCGATTTCCATGTTGCATGTTTTAAAATGCTGTTAAATCGCAACAACAAAATTGTACTATAATTGTCTTACTTGTCGATGAAATCTCTCTCAGATTTCCTTGTTTTTATATATAATTTGCATCTGTTTCCGTACCGGCCGTGGGTATTCATATTTTGCGCAGTGGATTTTATTTCGCGAGAATTCGCTTATAATTCGAATTGTTGCATGAAAGAAAGTCGCGACGGGAGAATTATTTCTTAGTAACTTTGATAGAACCGAAAAAAAACCCACACCAAATGTTTTTAATTGAACTGGTTCACATTTGTCAACAAAAATTGTAAGATTTGCATTATACATTTAAAGTCTTTTTTTTAGATTGTTCCAATTGTTTAACAGTAAAGCCTCTCTCTCTCTCTCTCTCTCTCTCTCTCTCTCTCTCTCTCTCTCTCTCTCTCTCTCTCTCTCTCTCTCTCTCTCTCAGTAAAGCCTCTCTCTCTCTCTCTCTCTCTCTCTCTCTCTCTCTCTCTCTCTCTCTCTCTCTCTCTCTCTCTCTCTCTCTCTCTCTCATATTGCAGTTGGGGGGGGGGCGGAGGCAGGATTCACAAGGAGCGACAGTGCAAGGATGGCCGGACCATTCCTACATTTCTTGTCGTTCACTTATCGGAGGTCGTACTTTTTAACATTTGCTAATCGTGATTTTAAAGGAACTAATTTTTAATAACTTTATCCAAAAAAAAAAAAATCCACGCTCTCTGGAATTGAACAGTAAAATCTGTTTTCACTAAATAAATATACGAATGTATGGTGTTTTGATTTCCAGTAAGTTTTTATCTTAAGTAACTGTTTCTATATCAAGTAACGGTTTTTTTTATAATCTGAAGCATCAGTATCTTTATTTCAAGAAAAATAGAGAATAGGAAAATGACAACTGCTGTTATTGTTTTTTTGTGGGGTTAGGTGGGGTTGTGTCGCGTACATAAGCATGGTTTTGTATTTGGCAGCTATATTAGCAGTTGTGTTGTTGTTGTTAGTAAGATTCTATATTAAATAACGTAAATTTGATTTTGTTCTTTTTAAGGGGGGTAGATACATAATTGCACGTACGGAAGTGAGATACTAGGTTGTGCTTGTATGACATTATATTGATGGTTGCATAAGAAAATCAGATTCACTGGCCATGGGTTCCTAAAAATATAAGTTTATTATGCTCTATCAGAAAACTTTATGCTATGAGATAATTTTTATTACGATTAAAATTTTGTTTGCTAAAAGCTAAAGACATTTTTATGAATAAGTAGTTCAATGATACGCCAAGAAAGCAGCAAAAGATAAATATTTGAAAACATTCTTAGTAAAAAAAATTGTTAAAGATAAAAACCTTTCAAGAATGTAAGATGTCCCTGCGTGTGTGGAGAAAAGGGCTTAACTAGTGACGTATCACTTCGTGCCAACCAAATTCAATCTTTTTGTTACAGACTGCGCCTATGTCAAAAGATCAGATGTACATATTTTCATTTGCATGTAATTTGGGCAAAGAATCATTTTAATTATTTAAAAGTCTTTAATTTTCGGTAGAAGTAATGAGGAAAGATTTGCTATAATGGTATCGTAGCAACACTATAAAACACGAGTAGTGATTAGGCTAGAGACTAATATAAATACCAGTTTTGTGTTTAACTACCTTGAATGAAGAAAGGATCTCAGCAAAATTTAACATCATCAAATTTAAATTTTAAAGTTAATTCAAAATATTTGCTGAGAATTATTATTACTTTGAAGGGAATATAATGTAATAGCCTAAGAAAAGCTTGGAGTTGTATAAGCCGCCACGTATAGGGCAACCTAATGTCCATCCATCACACCTTGATTACGATTTGTGTTTAGGTCATCGCTCCCACTGGTGGGGCATCATAGCTTGTCCATCCGTCACACATGATTTAGATTTGCACTTAGGTCGTACGTAGCAGGCACTGTGATGGTGCAACCAAGTTTCAAGCAACATATTTTCTAATACTGCATAGAATTCTATGCCAAGGTGTGTGTGTGTGTGTGTGTGTGTGTGTGTGTGTGTGTGTGTGTGTGTGCGTGTGTGATTTAGAATTTTAACGTAGCTTTAACAATTTTAGTAAGGTCGCTACGATGCCTGCAGTGTGGCAGCTTCTATTGATGTCTAGCTTTGGGGCATTATGCCGCATCATATCCCACTCAGTCACATTATCCTGACACCAGGCTGACCAGTCCTAACACTAACCTTTTAACGCTGAGCGCCGAGCGAGGCAGCTGTTATATCATTTCTTAAAGTCTTTGTTATCACTCGACCGGAGTTCGAACCCGCGACCTCCCGAATTCGAGGCGGACGCTCCAACCACTTACGCCACCGGAGCGGTTCGATGCCAAGGGGTTAGCAAAACATATGCTCTGGCTATTATTCAAGGGTAGGGAAGGTCAAAATCATGCAGAAGATAACTATAACGAATGTTGACAATATTCTTCCATTATTTTAATATGTATCAGGCTCTTTAATCTATGTAAAACTTGTAAAGAAAAATTAGCAAAGAACTGAAGATAAGAAGGTATTAAGAATAACCCCAGACTGAAAATGACAACAAAAAAACCCCATCAAAAATCATACAGAAATCTATGATTTGATCATGTTGAGTGAATTTGATTACTACCTGTAAGTTGTCACCATTGGTTAATTACGGGTTCAAATTTGTGCGAAGCTTTGCACAGTACAGACTTACAGTGAGTACATTGGCACTTCTGTACTTTAAGATTTTGTATATTGGTAAAACTTCTATTGGATTGGATAATAAATTTTATCGCGTTTGTGTATTACTCACTTTGTTTACTGAATGCAGTAAATAGCAGCATTATAAGTAATTTATCAAATGAAAAAGTCGATAATGAGCCCTAAAGTTGTCATCAATATGATGTGTGTGTCTATGTGTGTCTATGTGTGTGTGTGTGTGTGTGAGAGAGAGAGAGAGAGAGAGAGAGAGAGAGAGAGAGAGAGAGAGAGAGAGAGAGAGAGAGAGAGAGAGAGAGAGAGAGAGAGAGAGAGCATTTACATTAACATTAAATTATCTTGTTCCACGGATGAAAGTAAACAGTACATTTACCCATCCTTTGTATGAAAGGTTAACTACACAAGAATGCACATGCCATATTGTACATTCTTTGGTTCACCTAACAGTCTTCCTAGAGACCGTGTCAGTGCACCGCAGATTGGCTCACAGAACAAGGAAGAGGCAAAATTTTCATTGTGTCATTGGGTACAGCGTTCTTTTCATCTCGTGACTGGCTGGCTGTTCATGTCATCCTCACAATAAAGATACGTTATATTTCTGTCAACTATACATGAAACCGTCGATTACGACAGTTGTAATATTCTCGTTCGAGTTGGATCATATTTCTGATAGTATAATGCACTTATCGTTGAATAGAATTGGACAAACACGTATTTGTTAAGTATTCTTGCGTTGATTTTATCCCCCCCCCAGTAAACAATGTAACTAGGATTAACGATAAAATAATTGAAATAATAAAATGATTTTCTAATCTTTTTGATGTTGTTATGATCTTGGTAACTGTCATAATCGTATTACATGCGTTGTATTTCGTAAGAAAAAGACCACCCGATGGCTTCAATGATTAGAGCATCCCCCTCCCATGCCAAAGATCGTGGGTTCAAATCCCAGCCGATTCATACCAAAGACTTTTAAAAATAGTATTAACAGCTGCCTCTCTAGGTGATCAGCATTAAAAGGATAGTGTTAGGACTGGTCGACCTGGTGTCAGGATAATGTGACAGGATCGGTCATGATGCCACACTGCAGGCATCGTAGCGATATGACTTTAATTGTTTAAAGCCACGTTAAAAATCCCTCCACACACACACACACACACGAGAATGAAATTGCGTGGATTAGTTTTTATCATAACATTTGACGCAGAAGTGCTAGTTTTCAATAAATAATTTAAAAAATCATTTTGAGTTTAACATCAAAGAATATGGAGAATCTAGTATTTTACAATATTAAGGGGTACATCTGACACTGATGGATTCAATAAAATGCACTTCGTTGCTATCGGTACACATTCTTCCACATTTATATCGCCTTTGAATGGCGAGATATAAGTATCACTGTTTCACAGGCAACCGAGTCATGTACACGTTTAAAATCGCACCGTTTCATTACGTAACTAACGTTTCGCACGTGGTCAGTTCATTCGTCATAAATATGACGTCATATATATATATATATATATATATATATATATATATATATATATATATATATATATATATATATATATATATATATATATATATATATATATATATATATATATATCGTCAATAGCATAAAATGGTTAGCAACATTTGCTATAATATTATAGACGTTGTATTGTATTTTGCAGAGGAAAGTAGAGCAGTCATAGAATGGTCCGGTTATAATGATAGTATAGAGCCCTGCTTATTGATCGGTAATGTAAAGTCCCAAAGTACCGTACAACACTTAGTTACACTGCATTTCTATTATTCCACCAAAAATCAAACTACTTTACCAGACAATTTTCAAGTAATAATTTAATTTTAAACATTTAATCAGCTGATATTATCGACAGCAACAATTTTAACCGGTTTGCTGACTTATTTTCTGTCTGCCAGTGCTTCTGAGAATCAATACTGAAAACACTAGAATGGCGAGAACACGTATGGTATACAGACATGATATTTCCTTTAATTTTACGTAAAAGAACACTTAATTGAGATATCCATTAAACTCTAGGAGGTGGTTACATGCTTGCTAAACGTAGATATTAACAAAATCATGAAAATATTAGTCCTCTCGCTTAATTTTATTTATTTACCACGAAGTAAAACTGTAATCGTTGTTTTAAGGCTGGTTATTATTTTTCATGAAAGTGCTTCGTACCTCACAACATGTTAGAGTTATTTCTGGCCGCTCCAGTGGTTAAGTGGTTAGAGCGTCCGCCACGGATGTGGGAGGTCGCGAGATCTAACCCTGGTCGAGTCATACCAAAGAGTTGTAAAAATGGTACTTGCAGCTGTCTAGCTAGATGCTTATCATTAAGAGGTTAGTCAGCTTTGTGTCGGGATAATGTGACTGGTTGGGACATCATGCTACATGTGTGCAGCATGATGCCCCAGTGCTTGACCGTTTGCATTGAAAAATAAAGCGTCTAAAACTCACTTGAGTACGTCGAGCGATTTGTAGTCTCTATTCGTTTTCTGTGACGTAACATGTATTATTTTCTCATTAGTCGGGTTCACAAAGTAAATCTCATTTCATCATCTAGGACAAGCTCACTAATATGTATTTTTGGTTACTCTTTTAATATTTGGCGAGCAGCTGTTTGGCGTTTTCAACCAGTCTGTTTATGAGCAGCCGTCTACAATTTCGGAGCCCATTTTGCACAAACCTTTGCTTCAAATGATTGTTCAATATACGAAAAACAGCGGACATTTTATTGTCCTTGATAACAAACATCTTCCACTGTGTTTCTAGCATAGTAAAATATAATGAAACAGACCACCTTGTTTAGCTTGCATTTAATTAGATATGTTACTCTCTAACTTTATTCAAATGGTGTTGATATACTTCGTGAATGAAACGAATTAAAGTCATCGTTTACCCACCCATTTGTATGCACCTCCCTCCTTACAACGATTTTAAAACCGAAAAGCATCATGGATATAATGAATGCACAAAACTTAGTCCTTTGACTGATTTATAATTTTTAACATAATTAACACTGTAGAAATATTGGCCTTTCAAACTGAATCTCCATTTTTTTGTTCCTAGAATGGCATGTTACAGTAAAACTGTCGTCTGCGTCCAATATTTGCAATGTCTGGTCTTAATATTTCTAAAATAAATTGAACAAATAAATAGGATGATCTCTTGTATATTTGGGTTCAAAGAGTTGTAAATCCAAAATCAATGGAATTATTGAGATTTTCAAAAGCAGTGAACTACATCCCATCTATTGATTGAAAACATAGACTGGTTCAAGCAAATATGGCTACCCTGCTGTTAAGGTGGCCCTCCCCAGTTATTATGTACTTTTGAGGGAGTGATGTAGGTAAGGTGAAGTTGTTTGCATTTTAAACATGCACCGTGGAGAGATGTTGGCATACCTATTTGCTACTTTCATGTAATGTGGCTGAAATTTCTTTGGATATTGTACTTTTACCTGGGGCTGTTGGTCGGATATTTTCAAAGATTGTTTTGATACCCGTCGCCGTTTTAATGGAGTGTAGATGTTAATCACTAAAAGCACAAAGCGCTAGATTTCTTCGACGGGGATATGTTTTGAAATAAATGGCACTATCTCGACGGGATTATGTCCCGAAAATGTGACACCCACCGAGGGCTTTTCAATGTTGTTTACGTAATAATTACCGGCAAACAATTGAAAGGACCGACGCGATTGTAGTCAAATTGCTCTCAAAAGTCCGATTCGTAAATATTTTGATTCCCGTCGCTGATTTGAAGGTAGGTTACATAATAAATATAGGGATAAAATAAGTATTCACAAATGTCGGAGTTGTGAGTATAAAAATATAATTACAATCTCTCTCCTCTCTCACTCTCTCAAAATGAATTTTGTCCAAACTTTGTTCTAAATACTACATTCTCTAAATATTAATTATATAACACAAGTGTTGAAGTCAGTTGATGTTGATCAATGCACCGCCTCCAAGCTAAAACAATTTAGTTGCCTTTGATCAGTTTGATTAGATCTTGATTTAATCCGTGCATCTTTATTTCCTTCTACCTATATAGCTCTAGGACAGAAGCATAAAAACCAAGTTAATTTGGTTTTGTCTGTTTTAGCTAAGTTTGTAATTTGTTCTGTCTTTTGTGTAAATATGAACAGAGATACCAACGAAACAAGTTTTAATAAATATAACGTGATACCCTACAATTTAATACATTGTATCTTATCGTTTCACTAATGGTAGGATATTATATTTTGGGCTAACTCAAGTTTTCCAAGCGTAAGTTCAATTTCCATTTTCGAAAGTTAATATTAAATCCACCGGACTAGATTTTCTTTTTGTTGCTAAAATAGGAATGATTTAACTGCTAAGTATCGTAACATTTAGCGTATATATATATATATATATATATATATATATATATATATATATATATATATATATATATATATATATATATATATATATATATATATATATACATGCTATAGTTGTTGCATCTAAAATGGATCAATAATTGAAAATTTTGGAACAATATCAATGCCTTAGATATTAATTAGAATAAGTTGAACTGGGCTGGATATTTCTTATCATTAAAAACTAATTTTTGCACTCATTCTATCATTTATGT